CCTTTTGCAGAGAAAGAAGTTGACATTCATGTCGCGCCCTTCGAGTCAGTCCAGACAGAGCTTCGCTCGTTCATCGAGTCGGAGAAGGAACGTTTACGCTGGGTCTTTGAGGTGGAAGGAGAGCGACATCAAATCCAGACCCCAGTGCCCACCACTGAGACTGCCACCATGAAGGCACTCTGTGACAATCCCAAGTTCAAGCTCACGGGGATCTACATCACCGCCGCTTCCCATCTCACCATCTTTTCCTCCGCCAATCTGAATGCCTGGATGGGCGAACTGAAGGATGACACCTTGCTCTCCTCTCTTTCAATTCCAGGCACGCACAACTCCCCAACCTGCCATGTGGCAGCACCATCCGTTCGTTGCCAAGCGGTCAGCCCCAGGGAACAGCTCAGGAACGGCGTGCGTTTCTTTGATATCCGTGTGCAGCCTCAATATCCGGAAGATACATCGAAGGAGGAGCTTATCCTCGTACACAGCGTCTTCCCCATCTCACTAACCGGCAACAAATACTTCCGGGACTTGATGCACGAAGTGAACGACTTCCTGGAGCAAAATCCCTCCGAAACACTCATCATCTCTCTCAAGCGTGAAGGTCCCGGAAACCACACCGACGAACAGCTAAGTAGAATCGTGAACGACCACTACGCCCGCCCAGGGAGCAGATGGTACACGGAACCAAAGATCCCCACCCTAGGCGAAGTACGTGGAAAGGTTGTCCTTGTCCGTCGGTTCGAAATCCTCGAACACCTGAAAGACATCCATGATGGCAAAGGATGGGGCATCAACGCCAGTGGCTGGGCCGATAACTGCGCCAGTGCCACCTGCCCCAGTGGACAGCTTTGCATCCAAGATTTCTACGAGGTCTTGGAGACCACGAACATCGATAAGAAGATCGAATACGTGACCGAGCAGTGTGGACGCGCAAGCAAGACCCAGTACCCGTTTGGGGTGCTTCCAGGACCCTTGGCTACGCGTGCCCATCCTTTCTACATCAACTTCCTGAGCGCCAGCAATTTCTGGAAGGTCGGGACTTGGCCTGAGAAGATTGCTGCTAAGCTGAACCCTGCCACTGTTGAGTATCTGTGCAGGAAGCATGGAGAGGGTGATGGTGATTGGTCTACTGGTGTCCTTGTCACGGACTGGGTAGGCTTGGATGGCGACTGGGATCTTGTACGATGCATTGTGGGTATGAATTCTCGGCTGCTACACAGGCAGTTGATGCATGCAGAGCAGAGCGAGCAGAGCAATGGCAACAGTTAAGGAGGACTTGTTGGGTATGAAAGGAAGGACTGCCGGTTGCGCTTCAATCCCGCTCCGAGTCTCTTCAAGAGGATTGTCAAAAGAACCGCACCCTGTGTCAGTGATAGACCCAACAAGAGGGCTACGTGAACTAGGTATCATAAAATAATACCCGTATTTTCAACGTAGGTCACGATACGCAGTGTACAAGCGGACGCCACAGCCAAAAAGGAATATGTATGTATTTGTGACCCAGAACTATGACTCCGGTTCTAATGAAACTTCATGTGCTAAAACAATCATGGTCTTGAAGGGTAAAAATGGGAACCAAAAAGGAAAGAAAAAAGGGGGGAAAGAAAAATACACGCGACATTTTATTATACATGGCAAGCCAGGCAGAAGAATTCAACAGCCTTAGGCGGTTCAAGCAGAATCACCCTTGTTCTCATCCTCGGACGCCTTCTCCTCCTTCGGCTCCATATCCTGCTTTCTGCTCTCAAGCGTAAAGTAAAGGCTCTTTCCAGCGCCCTCCAAAGCATTCGTGATGCTGGATCCCATGCTCTGCAGAGCCATAACGAGCTGTGACCGCAGGCCATCCATACCGCCCTCGATACTGGTGACCCACTTGGACTGCTCAACATCGAAGACCTGTCCATCCATACGAGCAGCAACCAAAGACAACTTGTTCAGACCGTTCTGAACAGGGAACTCATGCCAGCCCGGGTTAGCCTTCCGGGTAGGCAAAGGAAGACCGATCGACTTAGGGGCCAGGACCTGCAACGCGGCCTTCAAGTGTTCGGGGGAGACGTGGGGGATAGTGAGGACAGCCACAGGACCAACCAGCAGCTCCGAAAGCTCATGTTTGCCCTTCATAGACAGGACGGCATCATGAGCGGCGCGGGAGAGGTCATGGGAGAGGGTAGGGTCATCCCGGGAAGCGGCAAGAGGGATTTCGGCCGATGTTTGCGTGGCAGGGTCGACAGCTCTGGGGACCGGGGTGGTCTGCTTAGGACGGAAGTATTCGACGATGCGGAGGGCGACTTCGAAAATGCGCGTCTGGACAATCTGGACCTTGATGTGCGGAGCCAGCGCTGGGGCCTTCCGGCCCTCCGAGGCAATCTTCTCGTCCACCTTCTGCATGGCTGCGCTCAGCTCTCGGCGGATAGCGGCCCACTCGACCGATTGGAGGTTGTCGTGCTGCAGGAAGACCATGAGAGGCGTGGTGCGGATGATGGAGGTGTATTGCCGGAGGAGCTGGGACCGGCGGTATTCGGGGTTGCGGTGCGAGGGAGGCTGCGTAGGAGGGTAGTGGGCGATGGGGGCGGGGGAGTGTGTCATTTGCTCGATTGATGCGGCCGGGGTCGTGGCCGTGGCTGCTGTGCTGGCATATCTGGCAGCAATTGGGAGTTCATGCTGGTAAACGACCCTTTGTCGGCGGACCGACTGAGTGATGCGGCCGCTGGAGATGCGGACGCGAGGCGGCATTGTGGAGGTGGGAAGAGGAGTTTCGGGGGGTGAAAGGTCAATTGGGCGTGGAATAGTACCGCGAGGAAGTAGGGGCCGGACGAAAACCTCCAAGACCGTGAAATTGGCGATGCCGGCGACAAGAGCAGCGTGCTGGAGGATGTCCGGCTGGACGAAAATATGGCACGAAATCTTGACTTCCTAAAGTGGATTAGCCGGGATGACAGGCGGTGGGATTCTGCCAGACGCAAAGATGACTCTTTGTTCTGCGGTCAGCGGGCATCCGACCAAACTCCGAACCTTCCTTCCTTTTCATGCAGGTAAGCTTGAAAGCTCGGTGAGTAAGTTGTGACTCATTGCTTATATAGGAGCGTGCGCGCCGTTCCGTTCTATCTGCTAACATTCAAACTAAAGGCAAAATGTCCGCCTCAATTCATGACCAGAAACCGCAACATGTCTCCATTTCACCCCTCCTCAAGAGACTCGCCTACCCCGCTACGGAACGCCGGGTCGAAGCTTCGGAAATTGCCTCAGCTTTCGCCCTGATTTTTGAAGATGGAATTTCGCATATTCAGACCGCAGCGCTGCTCACGCTTTTGCATTCTACGGGATTGGATCGCGATGCTGAAGTCATTGCCAAGTGTTCGCATCGCATGCGTGAGGCCGCTCGCCAGGTCGACCGGCCTACTCTGAAGGCTGCTATCAAGTCGCGCGGGAAGAAGGAGGGCAACTACAGGGGTGGTCTGGTGAGTGATGCTGGTTATATTGTACCTCAATTGGATCATACGGCTGACGTCTACGTTGCTTCTAGTGCGATATCGTTGGTACCGGTGGAGACATGCATTCTACCTTCAACATTTCCACAACCTCTTCGATCATTGCCTCCCCTCTCCTCATGACCGCCAAACATGGCAACCGGGCCCAGACCTCTTTCTCCGGATCCGCCGACGTCCTGAACGCCATTACTCCTGTGCCCCCGAAGATCGGCGCAGTTAACGCCGATAACCTTCCCCAGGTCTATGCGGAGACCAACTACTCCTTCCTGTTTGCTCCCAACTTCCACTTTGGCATGATGTACGCCGACCCTGTTCGGCGTGGGCTTGGACTTAGGACAATTTTCAACTTGATGGGACCCCTTGCCAACCCAGTCGACTGGGCTATCGAGGCGCGTGTTGTTGGTGTGGCCTACCAGAGCTTGGGACCGGTGTTTGTGGAGGCATTGCGGCAGAACGGATGCAAGAAGGCGCTTGTTGTTTGCGGTGAGGAGGATCTGGACGAGATCAGCTGCGCAGGAAAGACCAACTGCTGGCAACTAACGGAATATCCTAACCCCGCGTACCAAGGGTCCCAGGAGGATGAGTGCTCGTGCGATGAGGAGGAACACCCCCGCACCTTGGTCAAGATGGAAATGTTCCAATTGCACCCGTCCGATTTTGGCCTGCCGACTCACCCGCTATCTGACGTTGGCGGCAGGAAGATGCCCAAGGACAACGCAGCCAAGCTGATGAGCATTCTGCGGAATGAGTTGCCCCGAGATGATCCCATCCTGAGCTTCGTTCTTATGAACGTGGCTGCCCTCCTAACGGTGTCGGGTATCTGTGATGCGGACACTAGCAATATGGGACCTGGCGATGACGGTCTGGTCATCACTGAGCGCGGCCCTGGTGGCGGGCGCTGGAGGGAGGGTGTCCGCCGAGCTCGCTGGGCCGTTGAGAGCGGCGCTGCTCTCAAGTCCTTCGAGCACTTCATTGAAGTCACGAACCGGCTTTAATCATATCAACGGCTTCCATATCTCTAACCACTCATTCTCTTCTGACTCTCGGGTTTTTCTGTGGCTCTAAAAAGTATAGGCCAACTTGTTCTTTGAACAACAGTATGGCCATAATTTTTCGGGTAGTAGTGAATAGTTTATGATACCGTAACCATCGAAATGAATACTGTTCAAGACACTCAAACCCCAAGTAATGATCCATGAACATAGTTGAATTAACCGCCTGAATCAAAGACGAGGGGTATTTCCGCACAAAATCCCATCATCACTTATCTTCACTCGACAATAATCCCACTCGTCCACCTACTCCCCACCTCCCACTCACACCAACATCCAACCCTCCCTCACCAAGACAAATACCTTTCACAAAGAAATACATAACAACAAAAAGCAAACTCCAAGCGCCACCAAATGCACCCACCCCATCATACATAAAATGAAGTCAAACAAGCCCAACCAGACCATATCTGTCCAGCCCAGTCCAACTCAACTCAAACCACTTATTCTATCGAAACCGAATTCACCGCGCCTCGAACTGAACCATTCTGCACATCGCGAAGTAAACCAGTTAGCACAAACTCACACACATTCATCCAATCATTACAATTCCCACATCTATTCTCCCCAAAAAACCCCATCCCCACCCCAGGGAAGAAAAAGAAGAAGGAAAAACTAACCTCTTCGTCCTCTCCTTATACAAAACCCGATGACCGCACTCCTTGCACCGAATCTGGTCTCCCCTCTTCAGCGAAACGCGCGAGTTGCACTCGCCGCACAGGTACGCGACGACAGGGCCGTCCATGGGGCCACCACCGGCAGCATCACCGAAGGCGTTCTGGGCGCCGCCGCCCAGGTTGGGGACTTGGTATTGTTCGCGGGACATGGTGGGTTGTATTGGTTTATTGCGGTAGGTTGAGATTTGCGTGGTGGTGAGTAGAGGGTACGTATGTGGTCGGTGTGCGGTTGGGGAAGTAGTGGAGGGTGTGGTGTAGATGGTGATGGAAGGTTTGGGTGGTTTGGTTTGTTCTGGAACTTTTTTGCGTTGGAGGTTTGTTGCTGGATTGGGTTAGGCTGGGCTGGTTATGATTGGATTCATGCTTGTGTATAAGGTGGTTGTAGTGATGTGATTAGTAAGCGGGTGGGTTGTGCAGTTTGTGGTATTTGTCGGAATATAGTAGTACTCTAGGTCGTTTTTGTTTTGTTCAGGAAAATATGGGTGGGTTTATATATTTCGTCAAGTGCGATTTCTGTCGACCTTGAGTAAATGATTGCTTGATTTTTGGAATGTAGTACGTAGGATAAGACACAATACTATACATCTCCCACGACTTATCGTGCTGCCACCGATTCCACCAGCAAACATGGTATCTCTCTATATAATGTGCTGTCCAAATGCAAAGACTGTTGTCCCGATGAAGAAAATGCACGCATAGCTCATGTCATCCAAACATCACAGGGTATATGTCATAAATAAGTGAAAGAAAAGAAACAGATTTACCAACCACCGCCAATCTTCCCAGCAAGCTCAGCAACGCGAGTAGTATCGTTCGCGACAGGCTGGGACTTGCCAACATCACTCTCAACCTCGCGATATGTGGTGTAGGCAAGCTTCGAGAGCGGGATGCCCATGGAGTCGGACCAATAACGCATGGCATTATGGACTTTGTCTTCTTTCTCAAGAATGGATAGGGGCTGCGACTGGCTTCCGGCTTCCGACTCGGAGTCCGACTCCGCAGAGTAATATGCCTCGTCTACACGAGCAAGCCAAGCGCGTTGCTCATGTGGTGTCGGCTTCGACGAGGTGTCGGGCACTTCGCCCGAGGTTGAGGACTGCACGCTGGAGCTAGCTTCGCGGGCATCTTCAATGCGTATCTGACCTCCTCCATTAGTACAGCCTCCAGGGCATGCCATGACTTCTACATAAGCGTAATCTGTGCCAGAACCACCAGAAGCAGCGCCCCGTCCGACTGGCATTCGTCGACTACCGCCCGGAAGACGAGAAGCCCGGGCTGGTTTCAGCTTGCGAACAAGATTTTGAATATTGCGGAAACCGTAATAGCGAGCAGCTTTCAGGATAGGCGTGTGCTCCGACGACATAAGGGTGTACTCGACTACATCGGCGTTTCTTCCTCGTTGAGTGACAATCTCACTGCCTGGATTACGTGCTTGGAAAGTCTGAAGCACGTGGTGGAGGTAGCCTCCGGATGTACCTGCGGCATTTGATTGTCCTGCGGAAGACTTTGAGAACAGAAATTCGTTCAGAGTGGTATCTGGAAATGGTGGTATATAAGGCTGAGGAAGGGATTTGAACGGTAGGTTGGGAAGCGCAAGGTCCCTGGAAGACGCTAGGCTTAGAAGTTCGCGAGTGGTGATCACGCAATCAACATCACGGACGGCTGTGTGGTCTTCGTCCTTCGCAGACAGCCACGAAGCATCAGTAAGCTCCTCACGACTGGCTTCAAGCTTCTTGTCAAAGCAAGGCATGACGGCCAAATGCCATATACGAGAGGCCGGGATGCCAAGTGATTTACTGAGGACGGTTTTGAAAAAGGTGCCAGCCAACGCTTGCGGTGATTTGAGTCGTGACAGATGTGGGAGAACAAATGGATGTGTCTTTTCCGCATAACATATCCAGCCTGGACATGCGGACGAGAGGATCGGCCGTTTGGGAAGAGTATTGGTTGCGCTGTTTGTGCTAGGGGAATCGGGGTTGGTCGTCAAAGTCTCGCCAACTTCGTCCGCCGTAAGAACCAAGACAGCCTCGCGCAGAACATTGGTGTCGACAACCCATGTGAAGCCGCTGCCATTCTTGCCTCCAGCACGCAAACCGTGGGGACCGCTGAGGAACTGCTGGATCATGTATGATGCTTCCTTCTCCGTGATTCCATAGGTTGCTGCTAGGCTTGCCCTCACCTGAGGGCTAACACTTGCGACGAAAACTCGGCCTTCGTCATTGTCCGTGCCCAGACCCTGTGCTAATGTCCCATTTTCATGATTGATCAGCAACTCGGGATGCGCATCCAAAGTGTTGAGGACTTCCGCATGCGATTGCAACGAGATGAGTACGGCCTCAGCTGAAGTGACGCACCCAGAGCATGCGAGGCAATCAGTCAAAGAGATTTGTGCCGGTGGAAGATTTTCAGGCTGCAATTTGTCTTCTGTGGTCACTTCATAGGGGTTCTGAGAGATTATAAATCAGCGCTCATTCATTGGATGGAGTGGGGTACAAGCAGGGAGAAGGTCGAGCACATACATCTGTTTTCGAGGGATCCTTTGCAGGGAGAGTTTCCACAGGCTTGATGCACGCAACTCCGGGAGAGATGAAATCGTTCAAGTCGTCTGCAGATAGAATTGCACTCATTGTGGCGGCAATTGAAGACTCCTAGCTAGATGAGCAGGTATAGCAGCGCCACTCCGCAGCGGGCTCAGAAGTCTGCGCTGCAACTCGGACCGTGCTGATTTAGCAATATGAAAGCTTCGACGGCAAGTTGAACGCAATGTGCAAGACTTCAGTGTGCATGGAATATGAGAGCAGGTAGAAGAAATGCGACAGTGACAGTGATGGAAAGAAAGACCAATGCTTTGTCATCTGCAGTGGCGACGAACTCTGATGTTACTGGATGCTTATCGGCAGCCCCGCGATCGGCGATGATAAGCTGACCGCCTTTCGGCACCGCCCGCCAGGCACTCGTGTTCTGCCGCTCGTTCGTGTTGCCCCTCGGATTTCCACTTGGCTGGCCGCTCACCAGGCACCCTGGTGCTTCCAGCCTTGCTGCCTAAGTCTGCTCTTACTGTCAAGTCATGCCACACACTACATTAACAGACATGTAGCCAGATTAACCTTACATTCTGCTTACATAGTTTCACAGCAGACCACAAATACAAAGATGAGCCAAAAGTTATTACCGGACTACTTCCGACCGGTCAATGTGCGACCACGGCCTATGTCGGGAGCTGATAGGAGAGCAATACTAAGAGCGACCGCGGAAGAGACTCAAGCCCTTCTCCCCGGCATTCTAAGTACGGTGCCTCGGGCACCTCCAACAGCACAGTACTGTCCACGCATCAGATATCCTTCTTTAAATCCAAGGCTCAGTCCAAAGCTATCAACCCATGTCGAAGTCATATTTGGAGATACGTTCGACATCGCCATTAGGGTTAATAGCCCCTCCAGGCAATTCCGGCAAAGTGACACGCGGAACGTGTGTGTCTTGAATATGGCCAACGAAAGGAATCCAGGCGGCGGTTGGCGTAATGGAGCTATGGCTCAGGAGGAGGCTCTTTGCTATCGAAGCAGCCTCAGCTCCACCCTTAAATACCGATACTATCCCATAGGAGAACGAGACGCCATCTATTCTCCGACCGTCGTTATCTTCCGTGAAAGTTTCACACAGGGTCATGGGCTGATGGACCTGCAGAAGCCTGAACATCTCCCTATTGTGAGCGTTATTAGCGTTGCTGCCCTGGAAGGACCAGAGGTGGACTATACGGCAAATCCAGCGGCATTTAAGTTTCGTTCTGATCGAGAACTGACCAAAGACAAGATGCGGTCTATTCTCCGCATCGCAGGGTATAAGAAGCATCGGAGAATAGTCCTAGGAGCTCTGGGTTGTGGCGCATTTGCGAACCCAAATGCCGAGGTTGCTCAATGTTGGTTCGAAGTCCTGAAAGAAATCGAATTTCAGGGATGGTGGGAGAGGATTGTATTTGCGGTTTTAGATGACATGTCGAAAGTTGCTCAGGGTGACAGCAATTTCGATGTCTTCCGGGAAAGGCTGCATGGATTGAAGGTATGAACAGGTAGACCAGGAAAAGTGGTACATAGTATTATATAAAACCGGTATAATAACGTCCGTCACGTCGTATCTCCCGATACGTCGCTAATATGGTTATAATGGTACAATGGTCGGGATTCCTACTTTCGAAGTCGGCCAGAGCGCCTTCTGGTAGTTTGTTGTGCTTCTACCGGCTTAGTCTCTGTCTCATCGATGTCTTCCTTCTTGACAGAAGCCCTGCTTTGCCTTTTGGGCCCTGTCTTGGGCTTCAAATCCTCTTCGCTAGCTTCCGGTTCGCTCTCCTCCTTTTTCACTGAGGCCCGCTTTCGCTTCGACTTTGCCGGCGCATTACTGGCGTCTTCACTGCTGACGTCCTTGGCTACTGGCCCAGTCTTCTTCTGCACGCTTGGAACCACTGCGCTGGTTCTGCCGCCTACCGTAAGGAAAGTGATATTTTCCCCGTTTGGCAGCACTGATGGCGTGTTCTTCTTGCCTTTACTCCACCGATGTTTGAACAGCCAGTCAGCTGGGAATTTCTCCGAATCTGCCAGAAGTTCTACGGAGGTGGAGCAGATATAATGTATCGCTGAATGCAGCTCTTTGATCTGGTCATCATCAAGAGTGTTGCTGTATTGCTCAGGGTGTATCTTAGCTTGATAGAGAATTTCATCGCTATAAAAGCAGTCAGCTGGGTGAAATTGCCATAAGGGGAACCTGAAGAAACGTACCCCATCCAGTTGCCTATTCCGCTAATATTCGCTTGATCAAGGAGCAGGGCTTTTACAGGTACCTTCTTGCTTCTCAGCTTCTTTGCCAGCCACTCCTCCGATACGATGTCTTTATCGGTGACAGGGTCTGGGCCATTCTCTTTCAGAGGACTGTATTTACGGATTTCCTCCGCGGGACAGTCTACCAGACGTATTCTGGCCAGTCGGCGAAAATCAACAAACGCAGCCTCTGTCTTTGGATCGCCGTCGGTTTCGAGCAAGAATTTCCAGTACTTCGGCGGCCACTCCTTATCTTCTGGTTTGTCTGTCCGGTAGTAGTATGTGTCGGCGTCCCGGATCTTCAGCCAGCCCGCCATACCAAAATGCATAACTGCATGGGGTGGTGATGACATAGCAATCCAGAAGTATTTGCCCTGCTGTCCGGCACCAGTAACTTTCTTCCCTTCCATTG